GAGGAGAAGATCTTTGACATGTTATATCTTCACTCTTTTTGATTGTGCTGTAAGTTGGAAAGCAACACTTCAACCTACTGTTGCTTTGTCTACCACTGAAGCGGAATACATGTCCTTGACAGTGTAGACACCCAATTTCGTCCGGGGGGCATACAATTAGCAAAATAGGACATCAGAGGGTCCAAATCAATTTTTTTAGTGGCCTAGAACGGGCCGTTCTGGAATTGGAACGGGACGTTCCGAGACTCCTAAAAGGCCTAAAAATGGTAGGTTAGAACGGCCGTTCTAGACCAGAACGGGCCATTCTAAACCAATCAAAAGGACTAAAAAAGTTAGGTTGGAACGGGCCGTTCTAGGCCAGAACGGGCCGTTCCAAACCCATCAAATGGCCTAAAATGTGTTTCCCAGAACGGGCCGTTCTGAAATCAGAACGGGCCGTTTTAGGGTACAAAGTTAACACTTAACGTTCGGATCCGGAATGGGCCGTTCCGAATCCAGAACGGGCCGTTCCGGCCCACATCTGATGCTTATAAATAAGAAATCTCGGACACAGTTCAGGGGACCTCCAAAATTTCGTCCAAAGCTCCATAGAGCTCGAAATCTCTCCCTTTTCTCTCTCTCTCTCTCCTATTGTATTTCTTGAGTTTTTTGAGGCTTATTATAGTGTGAAAGGTTGCCACAAAGCACCTAAAACCTCCATAGTTGAAGATCCAATAAAGCTTGTTACGAGGTATTACTCATCAATCTTTTGTTTTATCTTTCTCTTCTTTTATTTTACATTGTTATAATAATAATAATCATGTAAATATTTTAGAGTCAATTGTTTAATTTAAATTTCAAGCATGTAAATAGTCATCAATAAAAGGGGATTTAATATTTATATTATTATTATTTATAATGTTAACTTCGTCATAGGGTACCGATTAAGGGCGTTGTAGGGGTGCTTAATACCTTCCTTACACGTAACCGACCCCCGAACCCAATTCTGGTTATCAAGGCCATTATTGGACTTTTAAAAAC